AACACCCTAAATACCTTGGGCCATTGGCTTTGTGGCTCCCCACACATGAATAATGTAGTCAGTTTAGGCAAAGAGCCGAAGATTCTTCAGGACTCCATTAGTTGGTGTGTGTGTGTGTTTCGGAGACAAAGCGCACGTTAGCATCGTGTGTGAAGAACGAATTTTACTTGATGCTTACTGGCCTATCTGACCCACAGTGCGAATGTGGAACGAACCAATGCGAAATTAGACACTTGGTTTGAGGGACGAGTTACTAGTATTGGGTTATCAAGATAGTTATTGCAGTATTTTATGTTAATTTTGACAGCTGAATATTTAGCTAAAGTTCTAAGAAGCTGCACTTACCTAGTAAATTATTTTGAAGGGTGTTTCTTGTTCCGTGTATCAGTAGTGATAGTTCAACGCAGAACCAGGCATTTACATTTCTAAAGAACATTTAATGTAGCATGGATGAAAGACAAGTTCGCACAGTTTGCTTGTTGTACTTTAGACTTGGTCGGGATGGAGCTGTAACAGCTCGTGACAACAACAGTGAACAGTCTAGGAACCAACAACAACCGTACTGTATAATGGTGGTTTCACAAGTTCGCAGAGGCTACGAGGGGCTTGAAGACGGAGAGCGTATTTGATAGCCATCGGAAGTAAACGACGATAAATTAAAAGCAATAGTTCAGGTGGATCCGCGTAAAACCTTTCGAGATCTTGCTTATAACTTTGCATTCGCTCAAGGGTGAGTTCAATCGCATAAGAGAAATTAGAATGTTGTAAAGGCTTGATAAGAGGGTGCAGCACTAATTGAATTTAAAACAAAGAAATCATGTCTGCTCTTTATTTTGTTCACTATAAATGACCCGTTTCTCGACCGGATTGTGACGTGTGATTGAAAGTGGATGCTTTACGATAATCGTCAGCAAACTGCTCAGTGCACCTCGATCGATCTCACAGCCTTTCCCAAAGCCGAATTTGCACCCAAATTAGGCTACGGTAAGTATTTGGTGGTCAGCAGTTGGTTTGATCCATCATAGCTTTCTGAATCAGGGCGCAAAAATTACTGTGGAGTAATATTGTCAATAACGTGTCGAAATGTCAAACTTAGTTCTTCGCAGTCCTTTCCCAGGCAAGCAGGTTCCCACAGGTCTAGAAAGCCCCAGACATCTGTTTCGATCGTCTTTATGTCGTCAGTGGTGCTCGTTCCTCGGACCCCTACCGGCTTCCGACCCCAGGACTTACGGATTCCAGCAGATTGTGCCACTACGCCATAGTTGACGGCGGCGGACCTGCGTGCCTCATGCTTGACTACGATATTGTGTGGCTTGTCGTCCACTGTCATGCCAGTTACGAACTGCGCAGGAGACAGTGATTGGCCCCAGAACTACTACTTTCTGCACGGCTACGTTGTACGACACACCATCTAGAAGCTATCTGGACGGACTTTTGGATTACTAATGAGTAGTGGTGCTTTGGGTGGAATTTCACACGTGGTTTGCCGTAGTTTCATTTTTGTCAGGCAATGGAGGATGCGCCGGGCAATATCAAAGGCAAGTGTCAGGCACGCAGGTCCGCCACCGTCATCCATGGCTTAGTGGCACAAGCTGCTGGTATCGGTAGGTTCTGGGGTCGGAAGCCGCTAGACGTCCGAGCAACGCGCACCACTGACGAAACTCAGAAATTTGAAACAATTAGTTCGCTTTAGTAACTTGAAAAACGCAGTAAGAAACCCAGAAGGTCGAAACAGCAGTTTGGTGTTTTTTCAGACGCGTGGGAATCTGCCTGACTGAGGCAAGCCTAGGACAAAGTACGTCTGAAACTGCACCTAACTCCTTACTACCCATTAGAAATTAACGAAATGCACAGAAATGTTCAATGCATGTGTGCGGCACTAGTCAAGAGGAAGAGGCCAATTTCTCTCCATGATAACGCTCGGCCTCACATCATACAAGCAACGCTGTGGAAGCTGCACTATATGGGTTACAAAAGTTTGTCCTACTCACCATACTTTCCTGTCCACTCGCCCGCGGAAGACCGCTTTTTAAAGCACCTGGATAACAGCCTTCGAGATAAATGTTTTAAAATCTAAGGAGATGCTGAAGCCGCATTCGACGAGTCATCTCCATTAAAACTCCGGAATTTTATTAATCGGGATAAACAAACATGTTTCCCCTCGGCAAATGTGTCACTTTAGATGGTTTTTGTTTCAAATAAAATCGTTACGACAGAACCAAGCTTTGTGTATTCATCTTTTAAAATTTAAAATTCCAATAAATTTCTCAGCAACCTAATATTAATGGATGCAGCTGCGAGGTCAACAACAGTCGTTAGCACAATAGACGAAAAAGAAGAAAGTTGTGAGAGGAGAGAAAAAGAAGAATATTTTGGAGTGTTGTTGATAAGGTTGAGCTAGAAGATGGTATCGTCCGGCCCCCCTTTCCGACAGAGGAGTTATGCTTGACGTGCTTTACCTCTAGCCTTTGCCTTAGCAGTTGAACCCACAAGGCAGTGTGGTACATAAATGTCCCTTGAGGGCCTTCACAAGAGGATTTGGTTCAATAGCCTGACCTACAAGGCAGTGGGTCGGCCGGTGGCCGAGTGGTCTGCGCGTCTGGTTTGCAACCATAAGGTCACCGGTTCGAATCCGCGTAGGGGTGGGCGTCCTCGCGGTCTACTCAGCCCGCGCGCGACTGGTGGTGGTCGCGCGGCAACGAAGCGCCGTTACGGCGTACAGCTGACACATTATTACATTATTCACAAGGCAGTGGGGAGCAAATTCAGCTCGGGAATGTGATTGCAGAGAAACACTGGAATCTGCTTTAGGTCCGTCACACGTACCCATCGCAGAGTTTGAACCATTCACGTGTGATTTCGAACGTAGTAGGTTACACAGTTGCAACTACTGCCAGAGACGGATGAGGGTTAAAGGTATTGCACCTATTTGACTAGGGGCTGCCAGGCTGGATGCGGGCGACAGCAAACCACTGAGTACTGGGCGGTATCATCTTACTGTCAGAGACAATGCGTGGCGCTGGTGGTCAACGCCGATTGAGGTCTGAGATTATAACCCTCAAACATGTCTCCCATTGCTAGGTTTTAAAGAAGAGGGCCATCTCCTCCGAAGAATTATGTCAAACTGAATTAGTTTGACCCCTAACTGTTGACATGTTTGGAATGATTGGCTCTAAAGGCACTTAGAAAGTGTCACCCAGCGTAGATCAATGGGTCACGGAGGTGCACAACCCATCTCTCCATGTTAACATCCGGTCTCGTGTGCTTCAGAACGACCCATCAATTAGTTATCAACCCTTGTGGCAAGCTTTGCCCCTTGTGAGTCAGTAGCTCAAGGGTAGAGATTACGGCTCACATCTCAACGGACCCAAGCTAAATGCCTGCTACCTCTACCTGACGCGAATGGTGTTTTCGGGCCGCTTACGCCCACTACCCAGCTGCTTCATCAGTTAGGGTAACAGTGATCAGAAGGACAAAGGTTCACTACAGTGCGAACCGCAGTCCACATTGAGATTGAGCGTCGCAGTACATTTGTGCAGTGAACACTTCAAAATGACCAATCTACTATAACCATTCCTTTCGCAACACATACGACCACACAATTATATGAACTGAAAGTACGCCGAAATATTTAGTAAAAAAGATCATGGTTCAGATTCTAATATTGCGACTGATGACTGAAATGGACTTCATAATTGTTTTTCGCTTAAGGAGGCTTGCATACCCAGGGTGTGATGTGCAAGCACAACTACTACATTAACAGGAAGTAGTAGCATCGTAAAACAAAAATTGGACGGGAGCGGGCAAACTACGACCGAATACAGGATGAACGTCCAAAGGCCATGGGTAAAAATACCACAAAATGGACGACGGAAATAGCTATCGGTACTGTACAGCACAATATTCTGGAATACGAAATTCGCGATAATCGGCATTGCGCCGATGATTTTACAAGAGGTCAGGCTTTATGCAATAACGGGATGCTGGCTGCCCCAGCGAGTGGACTCTCATGCCGCTTGGGTGCTGTCCCTGATGATGCGTCGCAGTTTTCTGCTCACTGTACCCAAGGCTAACTGTTTGAACTTGTCAGTTAGTTGCGGTTGAGCATATAATAATAGAGGACTACTTCGTTTCGACGAACGAATCCCACTTCTCCGGTCTCCGCTAATATATGGAAGGTGGGTTAATGTAATAAAATGGCCCAACACCGTGGATAATACAGTCTCCAGTACCTAGAATAAAGTTTCGTGTTGACTGGTAGTGTTAACTAAATCGTTAAAAACGGCTGAACTGTTTTCTGTCTGGAATCAGGGACATAAACCGTGCAAAATTTTCGGGACAGGTGCATTCACGAACAGCAAGTTGCAAATAACGAAATGTTCCTTTAGATAACAGCAGACAGAAACATACCTCATTTTGTCGTATCCCCAAATAAGTTTACCATGCTAGACTACTTTGCATGCACCCAAATCTGTAATGTTGCATGATTGTACATCTGGATTCAAAGAACTTCCTGTGGCGTTCAGCTGGGTCAAACCTGTTTTGAACAACCATCTGAATTCAATGGTCAGCATCTGGATAATAACCATTGGGGGACTTCTTGCGGTTGGACAGAAACGACTGTTTTACTTTTTAGACTCTTTTCAATCATGCCCTATAGATGTATTGTTAGCACTTCTATCCGAACCAGGTTGGTCTATTTATTTAATCTCCATCAAACGGTACATGTTTATGCCCCAAACAACTGAGTGGGGTAAGTTAAAAAATTTAACTTTATTATTGTTAATCCAGTTCTGTTCCCTATCCACCTGCTTGATCAAACCAAAACTGGAACGTATGCAGACCGGTAATGACTATGTCAACTGCTCACTCGGATGGGTATTTCGCGAATGAAAAATCGGGTCCTTGTATGACCTCGTGAATCCCCCACTTTTGTACTCTAAGTCCGTTAGCAAAATATGCGTCCGTTTATCATAGTATACCCTTTTCATTTATTATAGAGGAAACCAGCATGTTTAGTCGCTTGCATGTGGAAGAAATTCGACGACGAAAATTGAAGCAGAATCGTGAAACAAACATCAACGGTACCAATGCTGTTGGAATGTGCCGGAACACAGGTTGGTTATTTTAAACAAAATTCTTACCTTAAACAACGTCAATAGATACATAGTTTGTGTACCACCACAGCCGTGGAAGACAGAAAACGTCTCTATTTTCAAATACGTGCGTCGCCGTTTAATCAGAGTGGTCGAGTGTACGCAGGAATGGCTCACGGGTGAAATCGATATTGCTTATCGCGAGGCGAACATACGGCGAATAGCCCTAACTCGCTTGTCGACAGCCCTCAATGCTGAGCTAGAATTATAAACTTGGAGGCGCGTTACAGTGCTTGCACACTTGCAAATAATTCAATTGTTTAACGTTCTGCATTGCTGTATGCAATATTTTACTAGCCTAGGTAACATCCCCTCGGTTGCTGGAAACGAGCTTGAATATGCAACGGTACAAGAAGCTTTGATAAATCATAACCTAGTGTCTTTTGAATAGTATATCACACACAAACTTCGGGGTTCACTGAAAACGATAAACACCCCGATCGTTCGAGAATTGGAAAGCGGTGCAACCGTAATAAACTCTTCATTATCACGTGCCATTGAAGCTCTAGTACGGCAATGTTTTACATTCATCCAGTTAATGAGCTTAGACAGTATATTCAGCGTTAGTGTGGAAGTAAATGATGCTCCCCAAAGAAGGAATAATGTTTACTCAAAATAGCAGAGGGTTAGCTACAAAACACTGGCAGCTTGGTCGTTCATACCGCTTCGGAACGTGTTGAAAACAGTGGCAAACTTTTACAGGCATACCAACGTCGTGTTCGTGAGAAAGTGTCCAAACGATGTTACCAAAATCCACGACAATAAGCATGGCGACGTCTTGTTTAAATGATCCTACGATTGTCTAATCTGGATTGTAAAGGACTCTGAACTCCTCATTTGCAAGCCACATTACTTGAGCTATATAATGCAGCATTGTTGCGTGACCTCTTGATTACACTCGATATCTTCATGTGGGTACGAAAAATGAAAAAATTCATCGGTAGCAAGTACGCTAAAGAGATCACACATGAACGCCAATAGTAGACACTATTCTGTCAGTTGGCAAAATTTATCACTCAACGTGCGACCGCTACCTAATCATCAGCGCTTTCCGTCTAGGTACCTCAGACAGAAAGCCCTCATACATCAGGAAAAACAAGGGGACCTTTTCAAGTGATGGGCTTAGCTTACATCCCTTAAAGCCCCCTACTAACTCCTTGAAATCAGTACGCTGCTCCGAGTGCTTGTGAAATGACATAAGCTTAAATTTTTCTTAAATCTTGGAGGCTGTTGAACGGGTTTATCTTGTTGTCTGAGCGAGAGTAACGTGTAAGTCAGTGAAGAGTCAGCAGTGCTATATCACATCTAGTCACTTAGTCGCACCGATGGTGGCCATCTAACGTTGCCCAGCGGGCCTAAGTACGGACTCGTAAGAGTAGGGTCACTTGTTTTTTGGTGTGCTATAAGTAAACAAATGCAAAATGGAAGAATGATATAATGCGGATGAAAAATCCAAGGCCTGACAAGTCTTGTGGGATAGTTTGTTAGAATAAGGTTAGTTCAAGGAAGTTACACAAAAGTGAAAAATACGTCTGTGGACTCACCCTATTATCCACCTTAACACATAAATATATCCGTCTACCCCGATGTCGTGGGGTTGGTGAGCACAGTGTTTGTCTGCGTCTTGTCGTCATACAAAGAAGAGAAATCAGATCAAGTAATGTAAATGATTTAAAGCATTGTCGAGTCGTATTTTTAAAAATGGGTATCGTGGGAGCTGAAATGACAAAACTCGAAGGAACGTTCCACGTTTGACAAACTCGAAGGGCAAAGTAATTCCGGCGGCATTCCAGCCGACTGGATTGGGTGGCAAGTTTCAATTTATGACGCCTCAATTCTGTGTTGCAGCTAGCTTCAGGAGGTGGCAGTAATCGTGACAGAGGGTTTTTCAAAATCTGGTACGCCATGATCAGGTCACCTCATAGACTGCGATTTCTTCCGTTGTACACTCCCAGGGTTTCAGTCGCCTGTGGTATTGTAGGTGGGACAAACCTTTTACATTTTTTGGTGATCATCATTGTGCGGTCTCCAATGCAACCAGGTCGCGCTATAACCAGGGTTGCAAGCTTAGATCACGTAGTCTAAATGGGGCCTAACATACGCATTGACATTTGGGGGAAGATGGAGGAATCGAACCTCCCGAAGGCCCTCTGTAACAGACCAAGTTGTTTGTTCGCGGTTTTAGACGCATTCAAGGACTGCGCCGAACAGCCGAAGTCCTCTTGGATTACTACCCCAATCACGCCCTTGTGAGGCGGTGTTCAGCATATCGTCTCCAAGCTTAAATGCGTACATAGGCTTGTGGCGGACATGCACGGTTTTGCACTTGTCTGTGTTAAACGGAAGTAGATTTAGCATTAACCACTCAGAAGCGCAGTCTACGTCTCATTGCAATATATCGTTATCTTCATGACAGTCGCCTGCCCTCCATATTTTGATATCATCGGCAAAAATTAGAAAATTTGACTTTTTAACACTCGTAAGGTCGTCAATCAAGAACAAGAATAACCGCGGCCCCAACGCCGACCTTTGTGGAACATCGCAGTCCACACCAATTGGATCAATAAACGAAACTTGTACCCGAATCTGAAGACGTTGCCGAAAGAGGAAGTTGCCGGTTCATCCAAGGATAGGGTTTACAACACCGTATGCTTGCAGCTTTTGGAGAAGGATAAGGTGATCTATGCGGTCGAATGATTTGGAAAAGTCTAGATAGATGACATCAATGCCGGTCCCACTGTTGGCTATCACGGTCAAACTGCCACGGGCAAGCAGTAAGTTGGTAGTACATGATCGGTGCTGACGGAATCCGTGTTGCTCCGATGCATTGATGTTAGACCTTTCAAACTAGCCCATTACAGCCTCAGCTATGCTAGATTCCATCACCTTAGAGAGCACTGGGAGAAGAGTCACTGGGCGATAGTTGGCTGGCTCCGAACGGCTACCACTTTTTAAAATCGGGGTAATGATGCCTTGATTCCACATGCTAGGGACCGGCTATTCGTCCAGGCATCTTTGAAAAAATCTCGTTAATGGTTCACCTATCCTCGGAGCTGCCACCTTCAGTGGTTTTGGGGGGGGAATGTTGTCAACTCCGGGGGAACTGTGGGTGCGTAACGAAAGCAGCTTCCTCAAAATGGTCGCTGATCTAAATGTGACGGGTGTAAATACTGGCATCTGGGAGAATAGGACAGTAATGTTCAGCTCCCATCCGCTGATATTAGTGAGGAAACACCATGGTTCACATTCCGAATGCCGTTCACATGTCTGCTAGAAGCATTTTTAGACGCACTGTGTGCCGAACTTTCACTCCCTTGTCCTAATAACACTGAGCTTCAGTGGAATAGGATCTCGGCAGCCATGCACGACGCAGGAGCATCTGCTTGTGGCACTATCAATCGTCACCGCACTAGTCACTAGATATCCGAGAGGTCGGTGAACCTGTTTGAAGCTAGAAGACACCTCCCGGCTGGTTCTGGACACAATGTGACCAGACGGGCTATTAGGCGTGAACTAAAGTGGAGCCTACGTGCTGACAAAGAAGCCTGGTGAATCAGTAGGGCTCAAGAAATGGAGGAGGCATGAGCAGTAGGCAATTACCGCAAGCTCTTCCAGCTTATCCCCGCTACTGGTCCCAGAAAACCAGGCGTCAGTGAGACAATCAGAGGCAGCGTGTGCACTGATACACAACAACGAGCGATTTACGGCTCGTTGGGCGAAACACTTTCAAGATCAGTTCAGCTGGTCCCCTGCTCCCGGACATCTTTCTACCCAGGTGATGCATGACGAGCCATAGACGGTTAGTTTAGAGCCTCAATCGGAGGCCGGGGTCCGAAATGCTACTACAGCCCTCAGTCGTTTTCTTGCCGCTGGCTCGGATTCCCTCCAACCTGCACTATTTAAAGATGGAGGTGAGGTCCTATGCAAAGCACTGACCTCCCTATTCGCACGTATCTCTAAGGAACAGGCCATCCCAACTAACTGTAGTAAATCAATTATAGTAGCAGTAGACAAGAAGGGCAGTCTCACGGAGTGTACTAATCACAAGGGTATTGGCCTAAAGCCAATGGTGACAAAAGTACTGGCCTCGATTCTCGTTCGTCGCTTCACCGTGGAACGGGAATCTCGAATTAGGGAACAGCAGGCAGGTTTCTGCCCAGGACATGGCTGTATAGATCATATATTCACTCTGCGGCAGGTGCTAGAGCAACGCCACGCATTCCGCAAACCGACAATAGCTATGTTCCTCGATTTCAAGAGTGCTTTCGATCCAGTCGATCGATGCATTCTGTTTGAATTACTTACGCGGAAAGGTGTCCCCACAAAATATGTGAACATCCTACGTGCACTACATTCAAACACTACAGGCCGCGTCAAGGTCTAGGGTGACCTGTCGGATAGCTTTCCGACCACAAGTGGCGTTCGTCAGGGTTGTCCGATTTCCCCATTTTTGTTCAGTTTCGTCGTGGACTCTTTCATGGAGTGTTTCCTTGCGGAATCTCATGATGTACGCGTTGAGGTCCTGCCTGGTGAAAGTTAGTTGATCTTGATTTTGCAGACCATTTCGTCTTGCTTTACGACGATATTGTGGCGGCACCATCAACCTTGAATAGCCTGTCCAGAATGGTCCCATTGTTTGGTATGCGCTTCGCGCCTTCATTTATTCATGAGAAGCCAAATATGGAGAGTTATGGCGTTGGTGGAACACATGCCGCCTTCACATAAACAATCCTGACCCGGAGAATGAGACAGCGTACGTAACTCTGAGCAATTAATATGTACAGTTGGTTCGTGAAAACAAGTTATCACACCGACTGGAGGTAGCAAAACAGTTCCGTTTGAATCACAGCCTTATTTACAAACACGTGAATGCACTGCGTAAGTTACAGTGTGGAATCGCACCACTAAGTACGATTGGTGGGTATACCCACAAAACAAAAAATGCGGACAACATTTTGTTG